CCAGAGGAGGTAGCCTACTTAAAGGTGAACTTCTTCAGAAGTTAGGCTGTACCCTAAAGAGAGCTGGCATCTGAACACAGTCCATGTCATGACCAGGTGAACTGAAGAGAGCTTGTCATTTGAAAGCTATATAGCAAAAACATATTAATAGCTTAGTACTGGAGATACAGGGTGTTTTTTTTTCCACTATTCTTTAAGGCAGGCTCTGAGTGACTTTTAATACGCCAATCAATGTCAATAAGACACAAGTCAGACAAGTGCAAACATGTTTTAAACCAAAATTAATAGGAAAGCAAACAATAGACAAATTCTATTTTGTTTTGTTTTGCAACATCTGTCAGCCAGTATTGTTAGTCAAGTGGTTAATCACAGATAAAATACATTTTGCAGAATGCTTGGAGTAGTCAGAAGTCATCCTCGCACTTCAAGCAGCCGTGTACTATACCACCAGGATGAGTTTACATCCAGAAATACTGAAGAGAAAGCAGGCAAAACGTTTCAAAACAAACCAACGACACAAGTACAACCACACTTGGGTGTAAGGAGGCAATGTTTTTTAAAACATAGTCAGGGAAGGGCAAAATCAGGAAATCACAAAACCAGTAAAAATTATACTATGTTAACACAGCATTCCAAAGAGGGCGGAAGGTGCATTTCTCCAATGCACTAGATTCAAAGTTTGAAGGAAAAGAAAGCAAATACCTGCTTTTGGCCTTTTTTCAACTGCATAAGACACTGAGTAAGTTGAGAAGCAAGAAGCCAGCGCAGAAACATAGCCGCGAGTGTAAGACGTGCGCACGCAGAGGTCCTCTGTGACGCTGACGGGCCCTGAGCTGCTCTTGGTCGGTTTTCCTTTGCGGGTAAAAAGAAACAGGCAGATAGCTAGCTAGCTGCCCAGCGATACAGGTTTTCTTTGGACCTAAAAGTTGTCCATGTGTATCAGCATGCCAGTGGGAAAGTCGAACAGGAGAGTCCACCATCACTCCAAGGGAAGACATGGGAGCAACTCCAAGTACAGACGTAGCACTAGGTGGTACCCAAAGATTCCCCAAATCCTCACAGACTTCAAAGCATCAAACTCCTTCTGAATCACTGCGGGAAAAGTGGTACCAGGGCAATAAACAGGGAAGGCGGGGAAGGAAGGCAAAAAGAGAGGGCGGTATTGGGAGTAGGAGAGGTGGGGACAGGACCCAGGACAAAGGTAGAGAGTCCAACAGAGACAGCGCTGGGTGAGTCAGACGTGCGTGCTGGGGGCTACATGACTCGTTCTTTGTCTACTGGAATGTTGATTTTGAACATTTCAAAACATAATTAGCCAAGGGCAGAGTCCCTTGATCTCAGACTTGGCCAGATCCCAATCCTTCATTTTAAGCCCTCTCTTGGGAAATGATTTTTTTTTTAAGTTACAAAAGTAATTGCTACAGAAGTCAAAGGATAACAAAACTATACATTACGCCATTGAGCTAATTGTACTCAAAAGAGGTGCTGGAAAGGGCAACATATTCACTCTAAAGAGAACTTGATTTTGTGGCCACAGGTGCCGGCAGGAAAAACAATACGTGTACGTTTCAAAGCTGCACTTAACTCCTTTTGGGTCTTAACAGCAATCATGGGGATGGTTATTTTTACACCACCACCAATTCCTCCTTCTGATGGAAAAAGAAAGTTTTGCTTTCAGGAACCATTTATCCCCCAATACAGTCCATCACTTCATTTCAGGATAGGCAGGTGACCCCAATCTTGCCAGGTACCCTAACACCTACCCCCAGCTCCCCTTGGAACTGATCCAAAGATGGCTACTTGGCTCAAACCAGGCCAATCAAAACTCTTTTGAGAATTTTGGCAGGAAAAGTTCCTGGCTCCCTCAAAGATTGCATGTGCTAAAATCTGGGCACTTCTCTGGCTTTGTCTGCCATTTTACGAAGACGAAGATGGACTGATGGAGGAGAAAGTCAACCATGGGAGGAAGCACTTCTATGGTGGCAGAAAAAGAGACAGAGTGGATGGCATCATTCAAACACGGATGAAGCCCATCCGTGAGGTGTTCCGAAACGTCTAAACATTTCCTTTTTATGTCAGTTACTGGCTAATTTTGTGTGGTTATTTGAAACTCAAAGTCTCCTAAAGTGACACTTTCTTGTGTAAATCCCACTTTCAACTTATGCCGTTCCCTACTGGGGGGATTTAATCTACTACAGCACACCTGCAGCAGAGCTGCAGTAGCAGTGTTCCTGGGAGCTACAAACACCAGTTTGTGCCATCTGCTCCTCTCAGAGTCCATGGGAACCTGCCCTAACCCTTGGAGGAATGAGAAAGACGTCTCTTCTCTGTAACTGTGTGGTCACTTATCACACTAAATTATTCCTTGGTCTGTCTTTAATATAAATATTTTGATTGTCAACAATATTGAAGTTGGTCATTTTGTTCTTCCCAAAACTTCTGCCCTGGGACCAAGAGGATGGAGCTCTGAAATAGAACGCATCCATCCCAATGGAGAGTTTCTGCAAATGCAGGTCCCTGAGTGCCCCTCCTGCCCTTGCCCTCACAGGGAGCTTTAACAAAGAAGGGGCGATGGCCAGAGAGGAGGGTGCTTTCTGTCATTAGATCAAGTGGAAAACAATCAGGCCAAGTGCAGGGCTGAGGAACGATCTACCTGTAAAGTTTGTGTCTGAGAAATAAAATTCCTTCAACTCTTCTAAGTGCCTTTAAACTCTCCTCCCATCTATTTTGCACAGCTTCTGTCAGCATTGTCGCCTAAAATAGAAACCAGAAGATGCTCTATCTGCCACTAAGCCCTTAACTTAGCTTCCAAGAGGAAAGAAGGAAATGCAAAGCCATGGCCGAGTACCCCAAGCCCTCAGACCCAGCCCCCCCCCAACGCTTCACAGCGTCACCTGCTCCTAGGAGACAGCCTGACTCTGTCTTGAGGGCTCAGTCCGTTGTAACCCACCTATTATTTTATCTTAACTAACTTTTACTGAGGATCTAGTTGGTGCCTGCCTGCTGCTGAACTCTGACCTATTTGTCAAGGTCTACTCCCCCTTGTATCCCCATCCTTCTGGATGGTCAGGAATCTTTCTGTGCTTAAGGACGCACAACCCTTCTTACTACAACAGGCACTGCAGGAGACACTACGTTTGCCCTCACAGGTTCCTCCAAAGCACCCTCCCCTTCAGCCCTGAAAGGGCAATGGTCTGTTTAGGTAACCCACCTGCACTTGCTGCCACTAAGACAGGCCCTTTCAGAAAGTCTTGGGAATGAATAATCAATGCTCCAAGCCAACCAGGTTCCCCTACCCCTCGCCAGGGATGCAGGGAGGTGAACCACGTGGCCATGTGGAGCACCAAGCACAACTCATCAGCTCTTACAGCAAGGTTCCCATGGCACACCTTCCAAAAGCACTGCTGCTTTTGTTCCACCTGAGCTTTTCTCGCCATCAGAACAGGACTGGGCTTCCCAGGCAGAGGATAACTCATTCCTACCCAGCTGCACACTTGGAGCCCCGGCTCTGGAGACCACAGAGGTCGAGGGCTTCCTGGGACACCTTTGGACCTCTTGGGGCTGAAATGCAAGATCAGTCATGCCAAATCATGACTAGTGCTGCCCCCCCCCCATCAATGTAAGGGGCTCGTGCAAATGTTTGGCTTGAAAAATAAACTCTTATGACGCACTGATGGGTCTGTAAGGTCATTACTGGCTCAATAATATTGTCCTCCTTTATTTCCGTTATATAGCAATGGAACTAAGATATATTTTTATTCCTTTTCATAAAATAACTGCTTCTTTAAAATGTTATCATCTATAGCTTGCAACTGTCCTTGAGAAATTGATACAAGAAATCTATGCTATGCTCGAAAGTTCTGCCCACCAGAGGGAAACACAGAAAATGAGCATTTGAGTGCTTGAGGTCTGCGTGGGGGGAGGTTAATGTCTGCACCCAATTTCTCCATAATAAATGAGTAACAATTACTTAGAGACTGTTGCTGGGAAGCCTCAATTAGAAAATGATCAAGAAAGCAACCTAGACACCGTCAGTTATGGTAATGACTGTGCTCCGTGTTACTGAACATACTATGGGACTGGAGGCGTTTATTTTAACTGCATGTTTACTTGTCTGCCTCTTTCTCCAGACTGGGAGCTACTTGAGGGCGCAGCCTCCTCCTCTTCTCCGCTGCAGTCTTCGCCCTCCTACCTCACTCGGTGATCAGGACACGCTCCTTGAATTCAACAGTAATGAGCGCATGAACAAATGACAATGCCACGTGAATTCCGTTACAAACAGCAGGAAGTGAGGAGAGGGTCCAAGAGACTTTTTTTAATTTTAAAGAAAAACTAACAATTTTGAACATCTCAAATTCTAAATATTAAACGTGTTTATCTCATTGAATGTCTTTTAGCATTTCTATTATTAAATTCTTCCCCCATTGCACTGATGATACTTTTCCTCCAAAAGAAAGCCCGTTGTTTTGGTGAAAAAGAGGCCCTATTTTAAACTGGACCAACTGATTGCAAACACTGTTTCTTATGGTATTTCTCTTTGTAAAATATAATACATAATGAGTATAAATTATTTAAGTCAGAAGAACAAACACAAATATTTTTAAAGAAGTTTTCTACTAAAAATATCACCTCTTGAGACATCATATATCACATAAGAGCCAGTCAGGCACAGACAATATTGAAAAACAAGACATATTTCAGTAACTTTTACTGATGTTTTTACGCATGTGCCTGTGCGTGCTTGCACGCGCGCGCGCGCGCGCGCACACACACACACACACACACACACACACTCCTGTCTCTCCGCTCCACGCCCCACACCAACACCTCCACCATGCTGCCTGCACAGCTTCTTAGGCTATAACACAACGGAACCTAACTTGCCTCTGAGTTGCTTTGCTCTTTATAATAATATCCATCTTCAGTAGCATAAAGACACAACTCTATCTCTTTCTTTATAAAGTGTGATCTGAGAAGCCACCAGGGCTGTGGGGGAAAATTCAGACATCTCACTGAAGTCTGTCCTTTTACAGACATAGCTAAAACACTGATTCACATTTTCCAGACTCTCCCGTGTCTCAGACTTAAAAAAAAATACTGAAATGGGGCAGTTTACATTCATAAGATGCATTTTAGTGGCAGCACATCTGTATTTTAGTTCTCTAGCACTGTTGTGGAGAAGAGTCAATTCTACCATTTGAAAAAAAATCAACTTTAAGTTTGAACTTGAGAGTACTGAATCCTGTTAGGAGAAACTTTAACTTGAAACAGTCTTGCTTCCAGCCATGCAGCGGACAAAGTTAGGCAGAGAAACTCCTGTTAGTACATCACAACAAAAATTGCTGAATAAAAGATTCAAAGAAAATCAGTCTTTCGTGCAATACTGAACTGTCAGGGAAATGAGAGAACTCTCAGGAGGACAAGCCAGGCACAAGACACCAAGATTACAGTGAGACAAATATGCTCTGGACCCCTGTGGGCCGCTGCCCAGCCTCAATATGCAGAACAGGGGTTCACGGGCCACAGGAGGTACACAGGCGCCTGCGGTGGGGCCCTAGCTCCGTCCCCCCTGCGCACCCTGAACGTACCACCAGCGGGAGGCTGCAGGGCTGTGTCAGCAGTAATCTGACCTAGCTTCTCGACAGCCTTAAGACAATGGAGTGGCATCTTCATGTTATGGAGAAAACACCAACATACAACTGAAAACTCCATGTCCAGTCTGGCCAAATTTGAAGAGTGAGGGTAAACCTAAAATTCCATGTGCAGTCTCACTAGCTTCCAAGAATGAAGGTGAAACAAAGGACTTTTCAAATAAATAAGAACTGAGTATTTACTTCCAACGGGCTTTCACTTAAATTAGACTGTACTTAAAGAAATCAAATAATATCCACCCCCTAAGTTGTGAAACGCAAGAAGAAAGCATTCACGCCAAAAGTAAACACATAGAGGTAGCTACAGAAACATTGATTATACGTGATAATAACAACACATGCTTAACTTGTGAAGTTAAAACATACAAAACAAAAATCTTCAGTAACTAATATGTACCATCAGGCGTGGGGGTAAAGGTAGTGATTGGACAATGAGGATGAAATCACTGAGTTAACTGCTAACAGTGACACAGCATTCCTATGCTAGTGTCTTCGTCATTGCCCAGGCAAATAACTTTTCTGTTCATTACAGGAACTTCTGCCAGAGAACCATTAACTCCTTCAACTCAAAGCATCATTTCCTACCTAACACCATGGAACCCCATACCTGAAAACCCTTGCCTTGTTTCCAGCAACTCGACACCATTACATCCTAATTCTTACCTGACTCTTCAATTCATCAAGTCTCCATTTGAAACCCAACTTCAAATCCTCAACAAAATCTGGCTCTGCTCGCCCGCCCCAGATGACAGCAAGGCTGCCCAGTCCTCTCCGTCACCACGGTGAGCAGTAAACTCAGCTTTGTCTTGTCGGCAGGACAGCAGGATGTACTGAGCTAGGGGTCAGCACTCATCCCACAGCAGTTCAGATGGCCTCAGGTGATTTTATATCTGGGGAAGGCAGGTAGATATGAACTTACCTTACATGTTAAGTTCAATGTGCATTTCCAAGCTACTTAAAAGCAGAAACTGGTGTACACTTTCTAAATTAGCAGAACAGAAAATGAGATAAGAAGAGAAACTAGATGAATGCAAGAAAAGGAACAGAGAACCAGAAAAATGAATGGAAAGGGAATGGACAAAAGAAATACCAATGTTCAACCTAAAATATGCATGCTGATTTCTACAGTGGACTACTACTCAGCCATAAAAAATAATGAAATAATGCCACTTGCAGCAACATGGATGGACCTGGAGATTCTCATTCTAAGTGAAATAAGCCAAAAAGAGAAAGAAAAATACCATATGATATCACTTATAAGTGAAATCTAAAGACAAATGAACTTACTTGCAAAACAGAAACAGACTCTCAGACATAAAGAACAAACCAGTGGTTACCCAGGATGGGGAGAGGATGAACTGGGAGTTTGGGATTAGCAGATACTACTATAAATAAAATAGATAAACAACAAGGTGCTACTGTATACCACAGGGAACTATATACAATATCTTGTAGTAATGTATAATGAAAAAGAATATGAAAACAAATATATGTATGTTGATGTATGAGTGAAACATCTTGTACACCAGAAACTGACACATTGTAACTGACTATATTTCAATAAAAAGTAACAATAAAATGAAATATGCATACTAAGAATCAGTGGTCTAAAGTAAGATTCTATAAAGATTTGTTTAACTGCATTTTTAATGTTACTCATGTTCTTTCTACAAGAGAAATCAAAAACACACAGGGATCATGCGGGCTGGGGGAGATGATTTGTGCTTGGGGACATGATGTGGGCTTAGGGTGGTGAGGTCGGCTTGAGGACATGTGGGCCTGGAAACATGATGCGGCCTCAGGGAGTCGATGCAGTCCTGGGAGGGTGATGTGGGCTTGGGGAGACTATGTGTGCTCGGGGAGATGATGTAAGCTTGGGAAGATCATGTTGGCTTGGGAAGATGATGCGGGCCTGTGTAAATGATGCAGGCTTGCAGATATTACGTCGGCTTGGGGACATGACACAGGCTCGGCTAGATGATTCGGGCTTGGGGAATGATGCGGGCTTGGGGAGATCACTGGGCTTGGAGAGATGATGTGGATTGGGGCAACGATGTGGTGTTGGGGAGATGATGTGGGCTTGGGGAGATGATGTGGGCTTGGGGAGACTATGTGGGCTTTCGGGAGATGTTTCCTTGGGGACATAATGCAGGCTTGGGGAGATGACACGGGCTCGCAGACATTTTTCGGGTTTGTTGACATGATGTGGGCTGACACGACAAGTGCTCTGGGACATGATGCCGGCTCAGGGACATAACACATGTTCAGGCAGATGACATTAACTTGGAGAGCTGATGTGGGCTTGGGAAGATGTGGGTTTGGAAAGATGTGGGCTTGGAGAGATGATTCAGACTTGGGGAATGATGTTGGCTTGGGGAGATGTTGGCTCGGGGAGATGACGCAGGCTCAGGGAGATGACCCGGG